GTCCAAGCGGGAGATAACTAGAGCATGCACCACTCTGGCGAGACAGTCCACGGGCAGGTAGGGCCTCAGCCTGCATACCAGATGGGGCTGGTAGACAGCTGCCCTGGACACAGAATTGACCTGTGCCTCCACGGACAGCTGTGAGTCCAAAATGACTCCCAGGCTGTGCACCTGCTCCTTCAGGGGCACTATTACCCCATTCAGGACCAGGGAGTCCCCCACCGCCCCCTGTCCCCCCAAAACAGTACTTCTGTCTTGTCAGGATTCAGCCTCAATCTGTTAGCCGCCATCCATCCTCCAACCGCCTCCAGGCACTCACCCAGGACCTTCACTGCCTTCACTGGTTCTGAAAGAGAGCTAGTGCTGGGTATCATCTGCATACTGATGAACACCCAGCCCAAACCCTGTGATGATAAGTGCACTTACACCCTAATAAGTGTAATATTTGTACTTATGATGGCAGCTAAATCTACCCACACAAAAAAGACTGCCAAGAGCTTAGGATATTCATTGTCCATGCCCCCAGTTCCCATTCTGTCTCCAGGTTACATGTGAACACAGTACCGTTTGTCGGAGTCCACCTGCTCCTATAATCATTTTCATGACCACCAACAAGCAGTAAATTCTGGAGATGAGACTTTCATTATTTTTATTTATTTATTAGTATTGATAACCTGATCTTCATTGAGTATTTTATTTAGTCATTCATTTCATAAAATTCACATACTGCATGATTGCAGAAAAAACCCTCAAAGCGGTTTACAGAAAAGATAAAACAAAAAAAATGCTCACTAAAAAATTAGTCATAATTTAAAACACACAGAAAGCTAAAACTGCAATAGAATTGAAACAAATGGAAACTCCTCATACAAACTTTCCAAACGTTTAATCCTAAAGCAGGGAATAGTGAAATAAAATAAAAATCCATAAAAACAAGGAGAATAAATAACATTTTTTTAAAAAAATCACAATTCCAATGTAAAACAAGCCTATACTGCAGCAGGGACAAAAAGTAGAATTTCCAATTCATCATCATCATCATCATTTTATTTGTATGCCGCCTTTCCATAGCTGAAACTATGCTCAAGGCGGTTTACAACATGACAAGATTTACATAATTACAAACATTAACAAAAGTCATAAACAATAAATAAAACACATCAAAAAGTACACAACCAAATGGAAACAATTTCCACATAAATCATAAGATCTAAAACTAAAGATACAACAATAATATGAGTAACAGCAACAGTTCTCTCAACCCCTCGTAAACAATACCCCAGCCCAAGAATCTGTTCAACAATTTAACCAAATGCATAGGGAGGGGGGAAAGGGGGACTTTAACCAACTGAAACAAATGGCCTTAGCAAGAGCTCCCACACTCCCTCTCTCACCTGGGGCAGCCCACAACCTCCCTCGGGCTCTACTCTGTGCTGTCAGACTCTTGATCTTCGGCTTTTGAGCAACTTAACACCTTCCACCCTCATTCTCCAACTCACCAAAGCTCTCACCCCAATCGTTGCCCACAAGCAAAACCCCGACTCACCAGGTGGTTTCTTGGTCACTTCTGCAGTCTCCTTGTTTGAAATTGCTCCATGGTAAATCCTAACCCCTCCCACTAATTTTTGCATGTGGATCAGCAGTCAAAACAACCCATGTGGTGTTTTTCTGTTGAAAAGAAAAAAACTGAGATCTGCAAGCAACAGTGGGAATAAAATACTATTATTTTTTTTTTAAGTATTTGTTTGTGAACTGGAAGCTGTACATATGGCACCTTGCATGCAACAAAACAAGAGCAATAGCAATAGCCTGTATATAGGCTGTGCCATCACTCATTGTAGTGAGTAAATTATTGGTTAACCTGGTCTTGGCAAAGTCTCAGGTGGTTATACCAACATCTGCACTGTGTAATGAATATATTCTGCGATTGCTGGGTGATTGCTAATTGTTTGACCCACAATACAGTTGAAATGCCAGGTGTTTTTTGATTTATTTTTTTTAAGGAACAATCACTGGTTTTACCCTTTCCAACAAGACCATTAAATAGGCATTACAACTTCTGGAGAAAGAAATTATTTTTAAAACACCTACTATTACCCCCACACTGCTGACAGAGCTGTTTTCCCCTTGAAGGAACGGTGCCAAAATCAATGCTTAATATAAGGCATGCCTTATGAGAAATCTTGTGGATTATAGTCACACACTGGGTTTTCTAAAAAGCTTCTCTTGACAGACTATTTAAATTACCCTGACCTTAAAGCAAATTTTCACATTAGGACTTTTCATGAACACAGTGCATCAAGAGCCCATCTGTGAGTTGGTGAAACAAAAATCATTAGACTCAGTCGAATGCAACTTAGCTGTGCAGATCAGGCTGCTATTGCAAATTTGATCACTAGCTGTGTAACAGTCATAACACACACTGGTAAAGCTTCAAATCCAGTTCATTTAACTGATGAAACAAATTTTAAAGCGTAAGGTCAGATCTGCAGCTGCTGCAAATGATGGTCAATCAAGCCAACTTAACCTACCGGAGGCAATTTCCCCCTGTACGATAAACGGAGATTCCTTTGACCTCTATTTTCCTCCTTCGTTTTGTTATGAATTTGAAATCCCTTATGTATCATAAAGCCCTGCCTGGCCAAGTTAAACATTTTAAATGAATGGTTTATGCCCAGATGATCGGAAAAGACTCGGGGCCAAACTAGATGCGATGACATTCTCAGAAATTAACAATTATACGAATGGCTTTTTGAAACATTAATTGCTTGGGTCCTTATAAAGATCATGGTGCTGGCATGAAGAGCTGGGGGAATTAACCACTTGCTCCCTCCAAGCTCCTGATTTGGATTGGGGTCCGATCCCTGCTATTTGCATTGAGAGCTCCAGTGGAAACTTTTTTTCTCAGTGCAGATAGTAGGCACCCACTTCAACAGGACTGCAGAAGGGGTTGAAATAATTAAATCCCCACCACCATCATGTCAGGGTCTCTACCCAAACTGAGCCCCATCGTGTCTGCAATTTTAAAAATTCATTGCCAATTGCATAAGATGCATCATGTCTAATTTGGCCCTAAAATGGGGCTGACATCCATGCAGAAATCCTTCTTTTCTATCTGAAGTTTGCATATCTTTTTCTGGCATAGCTTCTGTGGTTTTAACAGCTGCAAGATTGCTGAGTTTCTGCTAAGACGACTCAGCATTTTCATAGCATATGTTAAATGTTAGTAGCATTTCCTATACACTATCACAGTGGTTTCTACAATTGCCTTTCAAAAGTTTTATTATGCCCACGTTGGAATGGGTGCTAAAGCTGGGAGATGGCAGCTTGAATAAAGCAATCCGGCATGGCAGAGGTGAGATCTGGACCACTCTTAGGAGGCAACGCTATGGCAAGATCCACCAGGATGAGCTTAGGATGCACCAGATCTCTGGCTCAGCTGGTGGTAAATCCCCAATCCCAACTCAGCCAGAGTATAATATAGTGGTACCTCGGGTTAAGAACTTAATTCATTCTGGAGGTCCGTTCTTAACCTGAAATTGTTCTTAACCTGAAGCACCACTTTAGCTAATGGGGCCTCCTGCTGATTTCTGTCCTCATCCTGAAGCAAAGTTCTTAACCCAAGGTACGATTTCTGGGTTAGCGGAGTCTGTAACCTGAAGCATCTGTAACCCGAGGTACCACTGTATGCTGGAGTAGCTAAGGGTGGTGTAAATCTCCCAAAACAGGCATGGAAGGTGCAGCCATTGAGCTAGCTTACATGACCTAACACAGAACACTGTTTTAAAGATGTGTTTTTCCTTTGCCAGGCTTCAGACAGAGCAGCCTCACTTCTGCACAGGATTTGGACCTGGTGTGATTTTACAATGGCTTAACTCATACTGGTGCGCTTTATTCCACCTTCTCATGCCGAGGGTTATTTCCTTAGATGGCTCCCAGTACGTTTCTGAGCACAATTCAAAGTGTTGGTGCGGACCTTTACAGCCTTAAATGGCCTTGGCCCAGTATACCTGAAGGAGCATCTCCACCCCCATCGTTCTGCCTGGACACTGAGGTCCAGCGTCGAGAGGCTTCTGGCAGTTCCCTCACTGCGAGACGTGAGGTTATAGGGAACCAGGCAAAGCGCCTTCTCAGTAGTGGTGCCTGCCCTGTGAAATGGCCTCCCATCAGATATCAAAGAAATAAACAACTATCTGATGTTTAGAAGACATCTGAAGGCAGCCCTGTTTAGGGAAGCTTTTAAGGACTGTTTTAATGTATTTTTAATCTTTTGTTGGAAGCCGCCCAGAGTTGCTGGGGAAACCCAGCCAGATGGGTGGGGTATAAATAATAAATTATTATTATTATTATTATTATTATTATTATTATTAGTTACTGCACTATCCTAGCAAAGAACTTCATAAATTTATTTATGCTGTTCATATCTCCATATTCATCAAAATTGAGGTTTACTGAAGAGCCTTCTCTAAAATTCATGGAAAATCTTTTGAGTAAGAAGAGCTAGCAGCTGGAACAGCTATTAGATAGCTTTTTAGGAACTCAGTAGAAATGTTACAAAACTCTCCATTTTATGGCATTTCCCAGCTCTCCTGCATCATGTGTATTGATCATACATGAAAGTAAGTCCTGCTGAAAGTAGCTCAAGAAAATCCTACAGCCAAATCTGAACTTGGCAATGAATCCACCAGAGGACTTGAGTCAAGCCACTCTCTTTCAAGCTTGCCATCTCCTCTGCAATAAACAGCTAATCAATGTGACTTTTCAGCCATGCAAATGTACTCAAGATGGGAGTACAGGAAACAGGGGTATTGTACAGATTTCCTGAGTCAAAACCAGTAGGGTACAGAACAGTTGTGCAGAGAATCACAGCTTCTTGGCTAACTAAATAGTGAGACTTTAGGGAAACAACTGTTAAATTAAGATGATGAAGAAACGATTAAACAAGGCCATCTGAAGTCTTAGCAAACCTATTCATATTAGTGTAACTTTGTTTTTTTTTTATAAGATATTTATTCCAATTTTAAAATTACAAAAAAAGAAAAAACCATACAAAATAGAATAAACATATAACAAAAAACAGACAATAAGAAAAACTCAACAAAGAATAAACATACATTACAATAAAGAATGACAAAAATCAAATTAAACCTTTACAACCTTTTTCCCTTTTACTTATTTCCATGACTTCCTCTCACCTCCCTGCTTTGTATTCTAGTTTAAATCGTATCTCCAGCAAATCCTTCTAACCTTCTTTTCTTTTACTTATTTTAACATTCGATAATATGTAATCCTCCTCTATCCTCATTTTACACTTCATTTTTACTTACTCCATTATACCATATCTGCCAATACGGCCTAATATTCTTTTCCAACCTTTTTCTAACATTCTTTTATATTGCAGTATTTCTGAAGATATATTTTAAATTTTTTCCAATCTTCTTCCATCGACCCTTCTTCCTGGTCTCGAATTCTGCCGGTCATCTCAGCCAGTTCCATATAGTCCATCACTTTCATCTGCCATTCTTCTCGGGTAGGCAATTCTTGTGTCTTCCAGTATTTCCCAATGAGAATTCTTGCTGCTGCTGTCGCATACATAAAAAAATTTCTGTCTTCCCTTCGCACCAATTGGCCGACCATGCCCAAGAGGAAGGCCTCTGGTTTCTTCAAGAAAGTGTATTTCAATACCTTTTTTAATTCATTATATATCATTTCCCAGAAGGCCTTGATCTTTGGGCACGTCCACCAAAGGTGAAAAGTACCTTCATTTTCTTTACATTTCCAACATTTATTATCAGGCAAATGATAGATTTTTGCTAGCTTGACTGGGGTTAAGTACCACCTATAAATCATTTTCATTATATTTTCTCTTAAGGCATTACAAGCCGTAAATTTCATACCTGTGGTCCATAACCGTTCCCAGTCAGCAAACATAATGTTATGCCCAACATCTTGTGCCCATTTAATCATAGCAGACTTAACCATTTCATCCTGTGTATTCCATTTCAGCAGCAGGTTATACATTCTTGACAAGTTCTTAGTTTTAGGCTCTAACAATTCCGTTTCCAATTTGGATTTTTCCTCCTGGAAACCAATCTTTTTATCTATGTTATAAACCTCCCTTATTTGATAATAATGAAGCCAATCTCGAACTTTAGTTTTTAATTTGTCAAAACTCTGCAATTTTAGTTTATCTCCAACTTGTTCTAAAATTTCACAGTATTTTGGCCAATTTGTCTCCATATTAGTTTTTTTCAATGCCTTAGCCTCCATTGGTGACAGCCACCTTGGTGTTTTACTTTCCAACAAATCCTTATATCTCACCCAAACATTAAACAATGCTTTCCTGACAACATGGTTCTTAAAGGCCTTATGCGCTTTAACCTTGTCATACCACAAATATGCATGCCATCCGAACACATTATCAAAGCCTTCTAGATCCAAAATGTCCGCATTTTCAAGAAGTAGCCAATCTTTCAGCCAGCAAAATGCGGCTGATTCATAATAAAATTTAAGATCTGGCAGGGCAAATCCCCCTCTTTCCTTCGCATCTGTTAATATCTTAAATTTTATTCTAGGCTTTTTGCCATATTAGTGTAACTTTGAAGGGGAGAATGTTTTGACATTGCATAGTATTACTTAAAAAAATTCAAAAAACAAAACCGTGTGCCCTACAAGGGAAACAAAACATAGAATCATAGAGTTGGAAGAGACCACAAGGGCCATCGAGTCCAACCCCCTGCCAAGCAGGAAACACCATCAGAGCACTCCTGACATATGGTTGTCAAGCCTCTGCTTAAAGACCTCCAAAGAAGGAGACTCCACCACACTCCTTGGCAGCAAATTCCACTGTCGACCAGCTCTTACTGTCAGGAAGTTCTTCCTAATGTTTAGGTGGAATCTTCTTTCTTGTAGTTTGGATCCATTGCTCCGTGTCCGCTTCTCTGGAGCAGCAGAAAACAACCTTTCTCCCTCCTCTATGTGACATCCTTTTATATATTTGAACATGGCTATCATATCACCCCTTAACCTCCTCTTCTCCAGGCTAGAAAAGCTCCAGAAAAGCTCTTTTAAACAAATAATTCATGTTCCCTATACGAACTCCGCAACAATTTCACTCTAATTAGCAGACAACCAAACAAGGGTAGATTGCTACTCTCCTGTTGCCCTGCTTGCAAGCCTCCCAGGAGCAGCTGGTGGGCTAAGCTTGAAGACAAGAGTGCTGGATTTGATGTAAATTTAGTCTGGTCCAGAAAACCAAGTCTTACATACTACAGAAGGTATAGTCAGAAAATGGATTTTCACCCCTCTTTTACCTCTTCCTACACCAGGCTCCCCACCCCACAATTTATTTTGTTTCACTCCTGGCATTTATATGCTGCCTTCCAGGACAAAGCCTTCAACGATGCTTCTTACATGTGTTTAAAACATAAAATTCAGCTTAAATATTTTTATTCTTTTTATTAGAAAAACGAATGAGTCTGTTTAAAAGCACCACACAGTCCAGTACAGAAAAGCAGATCAACAATGCCCCCCCCAATACCCTAGTGCCCACCAATCTAGCCAAATAATAGTAGAATGCAGAATTCATATAATTTCACATTGTGTCAAAGGAAGTCTATTTTAGCATGGTACACTGCAAAGCGAAAAAGGGAATATGCAAAATACAGAGTGCAAAACCAAAGCAGCTAGCTACAATTCGGCAGATAAGCTCGCACATGAATTAATTTTGCCTTTGTGCAAAGAGGAACCTCACAGCTTTCTTTCGAAGGAGCTAAAGAATATGCAAGGATTTAAGTTGTGCCCTAAGGGTGTAGTGAGAAAGAAGTCTCAAACTCTTCTTTGTTGCTCCAGTAAAAGAGGAACATCTCTCTTGGCTGAGGCAGAAGCAAAGGATCTAAAGAACCACAAATGGCGTAGGAGCCAGATCACCATCCTCTGTATTATTTAATACAGATGCTATAACTGGATGGAAACACGAACAACCCTTCTGATCTGGATTTCCAATCTGCAACGTAAGACACAAGGAAAGTATATGTCCTTTGCATAGACCCCACTGGTTTGGCGGAATGGTAACGAGTATTTATCGACAACTGTATAAATACAAAGCCAGAGAGCTGAATCAGGAATATATCCCACCAAGCTCAAATACTGATCTCTCCAGCTGATTCATCCTCGTCACACTCTTCTCCAGAAATCCACAAAGCAGCCCAGCTCAACATGTTCAGACTTTCTTCGCTGCCTGTGTCAGTCCTGCTTTAAGTTCAGCGGGAGCAAAGACACCAAATTCAGTGATAATGCCACCAGTTATCAGCTCATGAGGGGTGACATCAAAGGCTGGGTTCCAAACGTCAATGCCTAGGAAGCAGAAAGAATACAGTCGGTCCAACAGCATGCTAAAGGTTGTCCTCGCTCAATGCCCCCAATCTCTGCTTCTATGTTTCATGATCCCAGTGTTGCAGACAGGAGGCAGACACCTCAAAAGAAAAGGCACAAGAACTCAGAGATGTTTAGTCCCTAAATACATAAATCAAAACATTATGGGGATGGAGTAGAAATGGAAAGGCTTGCTTATTTTGATTTATTCAGTTGTTATGTTTGCATTCCACTCTTCCAAAGGAGCCCATGCATTTTTGCCTCTGGAAAGAGAAGGGATGATGGGAGTTGTAGTCTAACATTGGGAAGGTCACAGGATGGCCATGCCTGGCCAAAGACAAGTAGCTGTCTGCTGGATTCTGAGATACTTGAGCCACTTTTCCTTGACTTTCTTTTAGGCTTACTGTAAAAACCAGAGTACAGAGCCTGGTGTGTCTACCTGTTAAAGCACTGCAACTGAAGATGGAAATGTCTCACTGAATGACCCATTTCTTTGCACATGTCCTTCCCACACTTCGGTACCTGGTGCTGCAACCCGCACACCATTGATGTGCGTCACTTCTTCACTTGGCCTCTCCTCAATAACGATCTTCCCGCCATGTTCCAAGGTCAGGTCACATGAGGTGCTGGGTGCTGCCACATAGAAGGGGATCCCATGGTACTTTGCAGCAATAGCCAGCTGATAGGTGCCGATTTTGTTCGCAGTGTCTCCATTGGCAACAACCCTGTCTGCTCCCACGATGACAGCTGGGGTAAAAAGAGAGGATGACAAGCCCCTTACACATAAAAGAAATTCCCAGCTGCATGCTGCACTTGATTCCTTTTGAAATTCCCCATTACAGGATGGGTGAAGCAGTGCTCATACTAATAATTTGTGGCATGTTTAGCCTTGGAAGACAGGTGACAGAGAAAGCAATCCACATGGAATTCAGTGTGACATGAGCCCACACTAGACACTGACAGCAGGTAGCCCTTCTGAACCAAGGAAGGACACTTTAAGTGCCAAGAATTAATAAAACTGTAATGTTTAAGTGTCCGCTGTATCTTTGCAAAGGAAGATGATAAAAAAATAGAATCGGAATGGGTGGAGGCCACATAACTTTTCTCTCAGCAGAGGAGCAACTGTGACAGCAGGCACCACTTCTAAACCACAGTAAGACACTTCTCAAATTAGTTGAGTGCTAAGTAATTTTAAAATCGCAGTGCTTAAGTGTCCATGGAATGTTTACAAGGAAGGAGAACGGGGGAGAAATCCAGAACAACTTGGCCACACCCCTGTGACCTCACTGGCCACACCCCTGTGACCTTGTAGCAGCCCTGCCAGGTCTGCTAGCTGCCACTGACTTAAGGGCCTCAAAAGCTGGAAAGGTCCTGGGTCTCTGAGAGGGCCTGTGTACTCAGACTTGGATTCCCCACTCAAACCAGTGTGCCACATTGGCTAAATTGTCCCAATTCTTCCTCCGTGTTCAAGAGATGCTCAAGCCACCAACAGTTGTTCTAATAGCAAAACTACCTCCAGAAGGCAGCCTGATTGCTACATATCAAGCTTCCTTGCTAAACCAAAATGCAACACTAAGGGTCAAACTAGGAGAGAGAGAGAAGCACACCAGCGCTCACCTGCACCAATGAGCTGCTTCATGAGAGCAGCCACCATGCTGTCCGTAATGAGGCATGCAGGGATCTCCTCATACTTTAGCTCGTAAGCAGTCAGCCGGGCTCCCTGATTGTACGGCCTCGTCTCTGTGCAGTAGACCTTCTCCAGGTGACCCATGGCATGCAGAGAGCGAATGACACCTACCAAGCAACATCATACAATATTGACACTAGGGAGAATGTGTCAGCTGTCACTCCATATACAACCTTGTTTTTTCAGAAGGATCCCTAGCTCCTTCCTTTATCTGCCAAGGGAGGGACAGTGGGGAGCCAGAGAACAATATGAGAGGGTTGGGAGAGGGAACCACCACTCATGAGAAAGGTGCCCCATGCTTTGAGAGGTTTTGTACTTGAGCTTAGGTGATGCTTTCGGACTTCAGTGGTACCTCGGGTTAAGAACTTAATTTGTTCCGGAGGTCCATTCTTAACCTGAAACTGTTCTTAACCTGAGGTACCACTTTAGCTAATGGGGCCTCCCGCTGCCGCTGCACCACCGGAGCACGATTTCTGTTCTCATCCTGAAGTAAAGTTCTTAACCTGAGGTACTATTTCTGGGTTAGCGGAGTCTGTAACTTGAAGCGTCTGTAACCCGAGGTATCAATTTATAACTTACCAAGTGCAGTGCCATACCCAGCAGTGGCCAGTGAGCCCGTGTTGCAGTGGGTGATGACAGTCACCTTGTCCTTCCCTATGTGCTGCAGGAGGTGGCATGCCCCATGCTCCCCGATGCTTCTGTTGTCTTTCAGGTCTTTATCCAACATGGCTTCCGCCCAGCTGATCACGCTGTGACAAGAGGTTACATTAACCTGCGTGTTCTCGCCTAAAAAAAAAAGGTGTGGGGAGACTGGGAAGCTGTTGAGCCCTCACCTTTCTCGCAAACTCTCGGCAGTGCTCCCTTCACGCTTGGCCTCCTGGCGAACAAAGTGGCCCAGCTCCTGAGCTGCCCGGGCCATGTTGACAGCAGTAGGACGGGCACTCTCTAGGTAGCGCAGCGAGTCTCCCACAAATTTTTCAAGGCTGCCCACAGTCTGCTCTGCATTTCCTTTGGTGTGCAGCTCCACTGCCAGACTCAGGCAACCGACAATGGCGATGGCTGGAGCACCTCGCACCTAAGGGAAAGGAAACTGGAGTGTAAGCACCATACTACACAGGAAATGAGTTGTGATTCACTTTAATTTGTCCCTCAGCGCTACTTACAGCCTGCCCCAGAACAGGCAGCTGAAAAGCATTTTTGTTTGGGAGGTGGATCATTCTAGCATGTGCAAAGTGCAATGGCTTTGCACTTAAACACATGTGACTTCTCCACAAGGCACATGGCAACGCTGCACACAGTTCAACTGGCATGTAGATTATGTGTGATAATTTTTTTATGTCACTCCTAACACAGAATGTGCCGTAGGGAACTGATTTTTAATGGCCTCTTATGGGAACTTTAGGAGAAAACAATTTAAAGAACATGGATAGCAATTAGCAAGTTGAACAGCAGAATGGTATGTGGTCAGTTCTTGTTGGCCTGCATTACTTCAGACCTTCAGTGGGGGGAGAAGAGATCACATGTTCTAAACCAGGTATGGATAACTTTAAGCCCTCCAGATGTAGCTGAACTACAGTTCCCATCCACCCCAAGACTCCATTTTGTAGTTCTCATCGGCCCCACCAAGAAATTGTAGTTCGGCAACATCTGGAAGGTCAAAGGCTCCTCAAGCCTGTCTTTATAAATAGAAACAAACCCTGCCTGTCACTCTAGTTTCCTGGGAATGACTTTCTGAACAGGAGCTGCATCACCTCAACTCTGAATGCGCGACTGCTAAACAGATGGAACTCTTCACGTGAGCAGCAATTACAAACTTTAGTTTTGGCCACGAAGGAGAAAACCAAGTGTCCTCCCTTTTTAAAAGAAAATCCACCTCTGCACAAGATGAACCCCATTCTTTTCGGCCCGTAATGTTTTGCCTCCCCCCACAATACGGGAAAAAAATATCCTGCTCATATGCCTTCACTTCTGAATCCTCTGCCTGCCACTCTTTGTCGCGGTTCCTTTATCTGAATGATAAACAGTCCCGCAGCTCTACCGCCCAAACTGCGGGCTGGAACTCAAACGGGAGTTGTTTTCTCCTATCACTGCCCCTCCACGTGGCACGAGCTTCTCCTGTTGAACCGCTGCCTGCTGTGCAGCTGATAAAGGTGCGCGACCACAGCCGGGGAGCAGCACGCGGAGCCCCAAGATCGCTCGGGTCCCTTAGGCGTTTCCCCTTCCCCGTCGTAGCACCTTCATGGCGCGGATGGCTCTCCAGCCGTCCTCGACGCTGCCGATTTCCTCGTAGAGGCTCTGTTGGGGCAGCAGGAGCTGGTTGAGGATCTGCAGGGATCCCCTGCGGTAGCGGATCGCTTCCAAACTCATGGCTGCTTCCGAGGCTGGGCTGCGGGAGGCGGAGCGAGAAGGCGGAGTGGAAGCAGCCCGCGTGGGTGCGTCTGCCCGCGGCCGAGAAGCTGCGCTGGGTCCTAGGAAGAACCATTTTCAAGTCCCTGCGAATATGCCCCACTGCTGACCCCAAAAGCTCCACTAGGGAAAAGGATCCTTGCTGCTGCTGCTTCTTCTTTTCTATTCGTCTACCGCTGAGTTATTTATTATTTATTTGTAAGAATATTTATATAACGCTGCATCATAAAAATATATCGCAGAAGTTTATATCAATATAAAATCAAACAATCACATCATAAAAAGTTAAGAACAAGTTAAAAGCAAAAAAGAAATTAAAAACATCAATAGACCATTTTGCGGGATAGATGTACTCTTACTTGCCTGCATAGGCCTGGCTGAACAAAATGTTTTCAGCAGGCATTTAAAAGTTGGTGCAGAAGGTGCTCACTCAATCTAGTGGCAAGGTGTTCCACAGGACTGGGCCAATGACACTAAAGGCTTGGTTTCTTGTTCAAATGAGCTTCCAGTTGGGATTCAAGCCTCATCATGGTACTGAAACTGCCTTGGTCGCACTGGTCAATGATCTCCGGCGGGCCAGGGACAAAAGTGAGGGCTGTTTCCTAGTTCTGCTTGATGTCTCAGTGGCTTTTGATACCATCGACCATAACATCCTTCTGGACCGTCTAGAGGGGCTGGGAGCTGGGGGCACTGCTATACAGTGGTTCTGCTCCTCCTCCTGGGCCGTGTTCAGAAAGGGGGGGGGTGAGTGTTCAGACCCCTGGGTCCTCACTTGTTGGGTGCCTCAGGGTCCGTCCTCTCCCCCATGCTTTTCAACATCTACATGCAGCCACTGGGAGAGATCATCAGGGGGTTTGGGCAGGGTGTTCATCAGTATGCGGATGATACCCAGCTCTGCCTCTCTTTCAAATCAGAACCAGTGAAGGCGGTGAAGGTCCTGTGTGAGTGTCTGGAGGCGGTTGGAGGATGGATGGCGGCTAACAGATTGAGGCTGAATCCTGACAAGAGAAAAGTACTGTTTTTGGGGGACAGGAGGCGGGCAGGTGTGGGGGACTCCCTGGTCCTGAATGGGGTAATAGTGCCCCTGAAGGAGCAGGTGCATAGCCTGGGAGTCATTTTGGACTCACAGCTGTCCATGGAGGCACAGGTCAATTCTGTGTCCAGGGCAGCTGTTTACCAGATCCATCTGGTACGCAGGCTGAGACCCTACCTTCCCACAGACTGTCTCTCCAGAGTGCTGCATGCTCTAGTTATCTCCCGCTTGGACTACTGCAATGCACTCAACGTGGGGGTACCTTTGAAGGTGACCCAAAAACTATAACTAATCCAGAATGTGGCAGCTAGACTGGTGACTGGGAGTGGCTGCCGAGACTATATAACACCAGTCCTGAAAGACCTACATTGGCTCCCAGTACATTTCTGAGCACAATTCAAAGTGATGGTGCTGACCTTTAAAGCCCTAAACGGCCTCGGTCCAGTATACCTGAAGGAGCGTCTCCACCCCCATCGTTCTGCCCAGACACTGAGGTCCAGCTCCGAGGGCCTTCTCCCTTGCTGAGAGAAGCCAAGTTACAGGGAACCAGGCAGAGGGCCTTCTCGGTAGTGGCACCTGCCCTGTGGAACGCCCTCCCACCAGATGTCAAAGAGAAAAACAACTACCAGACTTTTAGAAGACATCTGAAGGCAGCCCTGTTTAGGGAAGCTTTTAATATTTGACGGACTATTGTATTTTAATATTTTGTAGGAAGCCGCCCAGAGTGGCTGGGGAAACCCAGCCAGATGGGCAGGGTATAAATAAATTATTATTATTATTATTATTATTATTATTATTATTATTATTCAACAACTCAGGGTATGACCAAAGATGTTCCTGCAAATGATTTCAGTGATCGAGCTGGGATATAAGGGTTCAGGTGATCCCTGAGGTATCCTGGATCTAAGTTGTTCAGGGCTTTGTAAATCAATGCAAGAAGCTTGAACTTGGCTCAGAAGCAGGTGGGCAGCTACTGCTACCTGTTTTAACAATAGTGTCACATGGTGTCTCAGCCAGAATCTCCCATCAGCAATCTGGCTGCAGCATGTGGCACCATCTGAAGCTTCCAAACCAGACCCAAGGGTAGCCCTACATAGAGCGCCTTACAGTAATCCAGCCTCAAGGTTACCAATGCATGGACTACCGTGGTCTGGCTATCCCTGGCCACGAACGGCTGCAGATGGCGAACCAGACAAAACTGGTAAAAGGTACTCCTAGCCACAGGACACTTGGGCCTCTGGTGACAAAGATGGGATTAAAATGTAATAAATTAAAACAAACTGAGCACTCCTGTTTATTAGCCTGTGATTTATTGAGGTGTTGCGAATGGACTGCGTTAAGAGATGCATCGTTTGCGCATTTGCTGAACGAAAGCTGTTTAATTACTTTCCACCAAAGAGAATGCAGACATTAGATGCTGACCATCTTATCTATCCCAAAATAGCAGGCGCACGTGTCTTACAATGCAATCCTATGCACCTTTACTCAGAAATGCATCTCCACTGTTCAGTGGGACTTACTCCCTAATCAGTGTGTTTACGATTGCAGTTTGAACAGAAGATATTATTCGGTTAAAAGGGTTTCTCAGCAAGTGCATGTATGTGTCCCACAAACCTGCATCCAGTCAAGCTGGATACATATAATGGTACCTCCTGTGAATGTAGTCACAGTAATGCCGAGCGGATCTAGGCCCTGAGCCTCGGCATACTAATAGAAGCCTTACAGTGTGTACCTGTTTTCATCTCCCTGCCTACCTGCTCGTTGCAGAGTTTTGATAACATCCCTAAACATTGCCAAAGGCTATCTTCCTACGTAAATATGCTGCCTTGTAAATAATGCATGGTAAAATATGCGTCTTAGCATGCGATGTTTTTGCTAGTTTCAAGCATTGGAAGCAGAACTGAAATCTGAGCCGGGAGCAATCCCTAAAGCAGAAGGATACAACTTTCGTTCAAATAGAAGCGTGGGATGATAACCATGCAATCTGAAAGCTGTAGCACAGGTTCTCTCATTTCTGGTAAAAGATGCCTGCTATCTGACTGTACTTACTTGTTAGCAGGGTTCTGAAGGCGTGGAGGGTGGGGGAGTACAGGCAGAAGAGATTAGCATTGTTGGGCAGCAGCTGCAGCCCGCAGGGCTATCACTAGGCCAAGGAGGCAGCTGCCTAGGGCACAGACCTCAGAGGGGCACAGTACTGACTTTGAAGGGGCACACTTTAATACAGATTAGTTTTTGCTATATCTTATGCATTACTGATAGTATTTTACCTTTATTTTATATTTTGAAGAATTTTATTATTTTGGAAGTAATTAATAAACGAGATAGAATTGTTGTTCAAGTATATACAAAATAGACACACTGTAGAGTTGATCTGTAAATAATAATACAGTGGTACCTCGAGTTAAGAACTTAATTCGTTCTCACTTCCGGGGTGGCGCCATCGGCAATGGCGGACTCCCTCTGAACAGGAGGGACTAGCTCCGCGGGAAACGGGTCTTCTCCGCTACGGCGAAGCGGGGACCCTTTTAAAAATCACAGGCGGATGAAGCCTGTGACCATGGGACTCAGTGGGCACCTTTAGCGCCCCCCCAACTCGCTAAGGAACCCACTAACGGGCTCCGAAGTGAAGAGGGGGAAGTGGCGCGGTGCTGTGAGTCAACTGCTATTTCCGTGGAGCGAAGCCGCACAGCTGTTGCCGGAGAGCACTGCCTTTTTCCTGGGACAATTTGGACTCTAAAATAAGCACCCGTGAGTACTTAGACTTTGAACAACTGGACATTAGATAAGGACTTGCGAGCAGAAAGGAATTGGATTTTAAAAACCTATTTTAATTTGGTACGGAACGGGAAGGTCTAAACAGGAAGTCAGCCTTCCGTTCTTCTGTAGACAGAATAAAGCAAAGACAACGTAAACTAGAGCTTAGAAAATCGCCTTTAAAGGATTGGATTTCATCATTTAAAATTGTGGAACCCCCCTTCGACAGCAGGAGAAGGAGGGGGATCTTTTCCGGACTGCTTAAAGTGAGTTTAAAGTAAAGTAACTTTCTTCCGTCCTGATCCTGGAGCGGGGTGTCAGGACAGACGTTTGAAGTTCATTGACCAGAGACAAGCAGTTTGACAGATAGCTAAAAGAAGAGAAACATAGCGATTCCACTGCTTCCCTTCACATCTTTAAGCAACAAATATTGACAAAGTATCTCAAAAAGGGAAACTTTGTTGCAAGAACAAATAGAAGTTTTCCCCCTAGAGGGAGACTGTGTAACTGTTACCAACTCCAGAGAGCCGGCAGCTGTTACAGATAACAATCGTGGGAACAGGCATTCGACCTTTGCAGGACAATGTATTCAGAAGCTTTGTTGTGTGCTTTCTATAAAACAAATGCCCTACTGGAACAATTACATGAAAAGGTGAATTGGATGGCGACTTCGACTAGAAATTTTGAACAGGCAGTGGGAAATTTTGAACAGACAGTGGGAAAATATGTGGAGCCCACCCAGGAATTAAATCAGGAGTGTGTCCTGACAGAACAGGCCCAACAGGAATATGAGTTTTTGGATTTGACAAATGAACTTGGAAAAAGCCAGATTTGGAAAGAAAAAGTTTGGTTTGGCTTGGAAATGGGGGGCTGGATTGACCCCCCTATGCTGGGATGTTTGGACTTTTCAAATCTGACAATGGGCCGTGAGATGTTTGGGATTGTGGCGGCTCTTAACTTTGGAGGGTCTTTGAAACATGCTTTTAAATACCAAATGGAACTCAGTGTTGAATCTGGAAAAGGGGCTGATCTGTCGAGAAGGGTTAAAAATATTGCCAAGCTGGAGTTACCACGAGCAGGAGACAAGGGAAAATACAGTTACAAATATGAAGAAGAGCTGCGGAAGGGACATGGAAGAGACTTGAGGGCCTCGGATATAAGGCTGCCAGGTTAATGGGCTAGATCGATGGGATAATAA